CGCAACTGATGACGTCACGTCCCTCTTTTGGTCATGAAAAAAATTATCAGGTAGAAAATTACTTTCCCGCAAATTTTCTCTGCCGTACCCTCGGCCCAGTCTCCCGACTTTTTCGCCCATGCTCATATATTACCCTCTTAAATTTTAAATGCCGGACGTCAACGGGTCATTTTTAAATGCCCCACACAACTAAAACCTCAAATGTGCTACAGTCGACTCTCTCTTAACGGACACCTCTATAAGACGGACACCTCTGTAAAACGGACACTTGGAGTTGGTCCCTGCCTTTCTTCACTCCTTTTATTTGACTCTGTATAAGACGGACACCTCTCTAAGACGGACACTTAGTGCCGGTCCCAAAGGTGTCCGTCTTAGAGAGAGTCGGCTGTATTTGTTTTTAACTCTTTAATGAAATCTTGTCACTGCAACAAAAAACCTAATTGGGAAATAGTCACGTGACTGATGGCGTCATTACCTTAGATGTGATAAGGGAAGATATTTTATGGCAAATGTTATCTTGTTGTGGTCTGACAGTCTTCTACGTATAAAATTGTCAAAGTTATATAGCTTTTTAAAAAATTGCCTCAAAGGATTCTGTGAGATTTTATTATTATTATAATTTACTTTTATAATTATTATCATTTGTCCCAAGGCCGCATTATTCTGCGCGGCTAATGCGCTTCGGGTCACGTGGTCAGAGCGAAGAAGTGAGTGAGTGTTTCCTGTCCGTTCGCCATGGCGTCACCAAAGTGAATTGACCGAGAAGGCCTGGGAAAACGCTGTACAGAGACCAGGCAACCTTCGCCCTAAAAAATCCGGCGCCTTCCATGCTACGCAGGATACGTCAGGAAAGTCAAAAGAGTTGCGAAAATTACAGTTAAAAGGAAATTCATCTGGTGACGTTGTTGCTTCCCATATTCAACCACTAGTCGTGATTCTACTGACCATGGATACTAGAAAAGGGTCAGTTAAAGTTCAACCTTTTTATAAAAAAATGTTTAATCTTAAGTGTTACCGGATCGCTACAGGGCCCGACCGTCTCACGTCCACATAATATAGCCACAAGGACCTGCACAATCTGTTCTCTTAATCAGGCTTTTTTTTCCTTTTAGGTGTAATTTTTTTTAACGCTTTTGACTTCCCTTAATTGTGTCATAGTGCTAGCTATTATACAAAGATGACAAAGAAAGTAATAAATAAACACATTGTTCAGCTACTATACAATATATGTTTTTGAGGGTAACTATCTAAGTCTTGAAAGTTAAGTGGAATTGCACATTAACCACAGGCATTGAGGTGAAAAGTTTATCGTGCCCTAGCCATATTAGTTTCGTGGTATGAAATCCTCTTACCAGCTAATTGCTGCACTTCACAGTTCATTAAATTTTTGTCGCTCAGGAAGTGCCTTGATAAGATACAATCAAGTTCACAGTGATATTGAAATTGACCAACTTAGAACAGGCGTCATCGTTTAATTTCTTGTACCGCCGTTGTCTGGAATTAATGAGGTTAATGCGGAGTGCGAAAAACGTGAAGTGGAGAAAATGAGGAGTTCGTATTTTTGTGTGGGTAAAACTCTGTTAAACTTTTCTATTTTTACAAGGGAACTACTCGCACCAAAAAATTGGTGTATGAAATTCCCCTGAAATTGCGAATTTCCCTAGAGTAATAGACAAGGCTTAACATTGCCGCCGGGCGCATATTAAGCCGGGGGGGGGGGTTAAACTAGATTTGTGCGGATGTGCCGCTGGGACCCTCTTAGCCCATAGCAAACCAAGCTCAGGTTATTTTTTTGACCTTATACTATAGACTAAGCTCCCCAAACCCCTCCTTTTTATAGAGTCGCTACTTTCCAGAAACTACAGAGGTCGACACTTTCTTTGCTATTAAATTGAGTTGCGAGTAAAGTTTGAATTTGCCAGTTTCATAATTTTGAGCAATGGACGAGGTTGATTTTTGAGTGTTGATTTTCATTTTCCCTCACTATAATAAATTTTCAACCAGTTGTACAGTTTACTCCCCCCCCCCCTCCCCCCTGACTGCATCATGAAAATACCGTCGAATAAAAACTTCTTGAGCTAACAGCACTGATTCCGACATTTATGTGAAGAATATGAATTCGTAAACTTACAAGAGTTTCATTGTAGAAAAAGAGTTTCCTTGAGTTAATTGTGCCGTTTTTATCTCTTGTCACAGGACTAACCTCCCCGATGTTAAAGATATATTCAAAGTTAATGAACGTTCGATAAATATCCGATCAATAGGCTTTTAAGGTTCTAGAGCATTCTAAGTGTTTTCCTTTAAAAATGAAACATGATGAATAACCCATTTGCTAATATTAAGCGTTTCATTTGCAAAGATAAATATTATCAGTATGCTTTTTGAGAGTGGCTTATCCTTTAAATGGAAAAACGGAGTTAGCAAGAAAGAGTTAGCAACTGAGAAGAAAGACTTGGAATGTCGAAGGAAGAATTAGAGAGAGAGGAGAAATATAGCTTGGAAGAGAAAGAGAAGAACATCAAGAAGAATATATGTACATCCCTATTGCGAGTAAGTAAGATAAACCTTGACAAGTTCAACTGGTTGATTGTGGTGGAGTTCCTCTGGTCCCTCCTTCTCCATCAATAAACGACACGCAGCATCATTTATCACTCTTCCCACTAAATGACAAACTCCGCAATGTCTACACTTTCTGTCCTGTACACTCCTCATTTTCCACACTCCTGTATTCAAAACACTTTGCAGTCTATGTTTTCCACATTCCACACTCCTCGTTATCCACAATTCACTCTACACTACACCGCACTTAGCCTGCCCCTCCTCCCTTCTCCCTCGCGCGGTCTCGCGCCCAAATTCCCTACTCCTCCTTCCTCGCGTGCGATCTCGCGAACGAATTCCATTGCCCTTCCGTGTCGAACGCCTGCCACGCAGGCTACAACGCACTCCTCGTTTTCCACAATCCACACTCTTCGTTTTCCACACTCTACACTACACCGCACTTAGCCTGCCCCCCACCCCCCATCCCTTCTCCCACGCGCGCGGTCTCGCGCCCAAATTTCCTTCCCCTTCCATTTCGAACACCTGCCACGTAGGCCTCACCGCACTCCTCGTTTTCCACACCCGGCGCTCCTGCTTTTACAGACAACCATTTATACTGCCAGTAAAATCGACTTTCTTGAATTTATTTGCTGATTAAGCTACAATAGATGGCGCTGTTTAGCCACACTAAAATTCTTTTCCAAAGACAGTAAAACAGCGATTTAAATGATCAAAAGTTGTAAGTAGGATCGTGCTGGAATTTTAATGGTTGATGGGATGTTGAGGCACTTGAACTACAATCTAAAAGTGCTGGAAGTGCTTATCTGATGAATATTATATTGTACGGAATTACGTGTACTGAATTAGTGTACCCGCCGGAAATGGTATTATTCCCAGCAATATCACTCCAGGTTCCACTTGCATAAAGGCTGTGGTTCTCTCTGCTTTTTTGCCATTGCGACAAATTCTCACTGCAGTGAGAATCGGAGCGCAGAATTTTGGGATTTTTTTTTATCACCAAGATGCTGCGTTACATGCTATTGTTCTTTATCGCTGCATTGCCGATTGTCATTCTTCCTCGCACACTGAACAGCGTACAAGGAGTAAGTCCACCTTCTATTAACTGTAAATTGAAACTGTTTAAAGTATAAATTGTAAAATTGATGGGGTGAACGAAATGAAGCCTCAAGTGGTTTTTGATTCATCTCCTTCCAGTTTGCCTTGAAGCATATAATGGGAGAGAATCGAAGGGAGAATTTAACATTTGATCAGGATTCGCATTGTCCTTAATTCCAAACCTCCCTTTGTTTTTCTTTACAATTCTTACTCACGCATCGTTGGAGATCTAAAAAGTCAGTAACAGATAACGGATTCATTTTACTTTACAGAGTTCACTGCCAAACTACCATGAAGAAAAGAACATGTACCAGAGCTACTGGAAAGACACGAAAATCAAGGAAGTTGATGAAGATGCTAAAATATCAGCAAAAGGTATTACTGAAAAATATACATTAGCTATAGCATCGCGATTATTCATACTCACTTACTTTTTCAAATGTAGTCAAACAATTCCAGGGGCGTAGCCGGCTTTTCGATTAGTTGCACGCTTGGCTGACTTTGATTTCCACATATCCTGAAAACTGCACGCATGACTAGTACGCACTGACCTCACCAACACTTTGAGCTCTTAAGCTTTTTAGCTCACCCCAACAACGCATGATTTATTAAAAGCGGTAGAGTGATCAAACCAAAAATTTGTAGGCCCGGGCCAAGAGGTCTTTATAATGGGCTGCCTACGCCCCTGACTTTCGGAGTTGAATTCCTGAGAACCATATCCAGATTTAGAAAGAGAAAGAAAATTTCGTTGTCGCTTGTTGCGTGATCCATAAAACGTAAAATTAGGCTAGTTCGCGTCGTAGTGGATGACGGCAAAAAAAAAAAATGAACAAACCGTGTTATGTACGTGCAGAGTTGTTGTTTTGCTAATTAAGCCTATTGATTTTTTGACGTTCGTTTTGTAGTCACCTAGGTCCGATCTTTAGATCCCTGTTATGATTTCAAATGAGTATGATGGAACTAAGAATGGATTATTATACGTTTCTGGGAAACTGTCCACCTACCCCTCCCCCATAAGCCAACATTTCTGACAACCAGTTACGCACTCAGACGGGTTACTGGTCCCGCCTATAGCTTCCAACAAGAGCCTCCCAGTCAGAATACCTAATCGCGTTCAACCCGCAGTGTATGTGGTTGACCGAGGGAGCGATGTCTGACCAGAAGTGGACGTATTGCCTTCTTGGGAAGCGATTTTGCCCAAATGTTTGGGCAAATCGTCTCTATACACGTAAACGCACTTAGCACTGAGACACACTTGGTAGCTTCATGGTATATTAATAGACTGCGCCTCAATCCCGGTTGACGTGCGCCGTCTATGAACGCCGGTTTAATTTCGGAAGCCAACAATGTTCTGTTCTATTTTAGAGTGTTACCATTACACGTTCCTTAACGAGTCAAGCAGAGCAAACTCCTTTTACAACATCAGTATTGACTTCCTTTGTGATGATGATCTTAACGGATGGTATCGCTTTGGGGGAAATGCTGGAAAGCAAATGGTGGATTCATGTGTTCCGGAGTTTCGATGTGGCGCAGAACTGCCGGGTTGGCTGAATGGCAGTCATCCTGAAATAGCTGAGGGTGCTGTCCGACGCAAAGTTTGTTTCCGTTACAAAAACAATTGTTGTGAATACTCAACAAGCATCACAGTCCGTAACTGTGGAGGATTCTACGTCTACCAACTTGGGAAGCCCCCAATTTGTAACTTTCGTTACTGCGGCAACGGAACACTCAAACCAAGTGAGAATTTAATTTTCCCGTATAACCTGCTCTGTCAGTTATTCTAAACCTCCTCTTCCCTCAGCCACCAACCCTTTCCCCCTTCGCAATGTGACACCGGAACCTCGGATCCTGCATGGAAGATTTGTTCCTCGGGCGTTCCTCGTCTCTTTTTACGCCTCAAACACGATAATATAATTTCGCTTCTTCGTATATCAAACACGGTACACAATGTTTCATCGTACATTACCGAGGAAAGCATTAAAAATATCCGAACCGTAGCCGAGTGTGACAGATTTTTTTCCCCGACCCCTCTTCAAATACAACGAACTCGAAAACCGTTCCAGATACAAGACTCTGACTACCACTAATGCCTCATACTATCATTACAAACAGCCAGATAGTGACTACCATTACACTCAAACTACTCACTCTTAGTCTCGCAGTTGTGGGCCAAATGCCCCCCACGCCGTAGCCATAAAATTTCAAATTTTCGTGTGCGACACATGAATATGGTGCTTGAGGACCTGCACTTAGCCGTGTCGGTCCTGTTGTCGTAGCTAAGGACTTTAATTTTGTTGCTTTCATTACTCTTCGGCACTTGTCTTCGACTTCCTTTCTTATTTTAAGCACCTTGCCTTTACTTTAAGGGTTTAGAATATTATAAAATTGCGTTTCTATCTTATAAGGATTCTCCTATCAGATTGGAAAAGTAGACGTTTCGAAGACAAGGCAGGAATGGAGTCGCAACAGCAGCAAATGTGAAGCGCCGACTCACTGTACATTGTCACGTTGCACAGATGTGACTTTTCATCGGGAATTCGTTGGATTACGGACTGTAAGTATTTATGACTGCATACCAAGATGTGCTTCCGCACTTTTGAAGTGGACTAAGCTATGAGCTTAAACTTTACGTCATCGTTAAATTCATGAACAATGCTTCCCCGGGGAATTTCAAATGAGTCAAGGAACTAATGTGTATTCCAACCCTTCATCAACTAAGAGTCAAGAATCGAAAAAAATAATGATAATAATTCGCCATCTTTTGGGTAATGTTACCAGACAGTTTCGTGTTGGAGTTAATCTCAGAATATCGATTTCTCAGTTGAAATGACTTCAAGTTAGACCATAGAAGCACTCGGTGTTTTCTTGAAAATAATATTGTAAAGGAGACAAAAAAAAGAAAAACGTTACAACGGTCGATCAAAACGACTAAAACAAGGAGAACAGCTGAAAGGGAACAAGTTAGTACTTCGATGGACTGACAGTGGCATATCAACGGCACTGGAGCGCTTTATCTGTTTTTACTTATACAAATTTCTAACCGATGCATTTCAGGTCCACGTTTTTGTGTCACTGAATCATGAAGAAAACTCATCGATGGCTCACACGCCCTCGGCTCTATGGGCAGAATCCATCAATACAGTTGGATTTAAACTATGTTCGCGCACGGCGGGTAATAAAAACGACACAGGAATTATCAACTGGTTAGCTTTCGAAGACCAGCCAAGCACAGGCATAACGCATGGAAGCGTTGCTCTTGGTGGAATATGGACCACAGAAACCAAATGTGAAAAAGTGGCCTTTTTTCAGGTTAGATCATGAAATTAGTTAGCAATTTGTTGAAAATAAAGTACAAAAATGCTGCATGTAAGAACAACACTTTTTAGCAGGAATGACATTGTGCTTTCTGTGATTTCTCAAGGTTTTTTTGGTATGTAACACATTAACACCAATCAGTGGCGGACGGAGGATTTTGTGATAGAGGGGCCCCATAGTAACTGTATACAGTGGTAATATGAGCGCGATAGCGCCTATCAGGACTGCGAACCGGCGACGCACTTTTCTAGGGAGTTTCGGGCACATGGTCCTCGGCGAAAATTTTTGAGATTGAAGTTCTCTGAGATGCAGTCTAGTGCATTCTGAACGCTTAAATTTTATGATGCTAGCGGGGACCGACGCGATTGCGGCGGGAGCACAACCTCCCAGCAAAGGCAGCAACATTGTCTCCCTGAAAGATTGTCAAATCCAGATTGTTTGAGAAGGATATTTACTGCATGCGTTTTGGGAGCTTTGGTCATTTGCGACCAAAAATGTAGGCTTCGAACACAGATTCAAAGAAGATTTATATTAAAAAAAATTCAACAAAGGAAATGCATCCTAAGGATATGACTCTAAGACCAATCATAAGTAAATTCAATGCATGGGATTGATAAATGTCATCCTTCTCTTGTTGCGCTTGGCATAGTCGTCAATAATTGCATCATAATCCAGAGCAACGTCCTTGTGAATAAAGAGCAGCGACAGTGCGTTAAGGCGGTGTTCTCTCATGGTGCTTCTAAAACAACTCTTTACAAAGCGCAGTGATGAGTTGCTACATTCCACGGTTGCACTTGTGACAGGGCCGATCATTAGGAGCCGCAAAATTGTGTGGAGTTTGGAGTATAGGCCTTTGTTACAGGCTGCCAATTCTTCTTGTAAAATGGAGGGTTTTTCGGTTCTATTGATCCTGAAAATGAAAGCAACAACTTACATATATCGCAAAACAGAAATGGTTTCCTTCGCGTATCACTGAAAAAACGTTTCATAACCATGTACATGAGTACATATAAACTTAGTGAAACTGTGCTGTATTCTTTGTAAATTTGAAAGAAAATTACCATACCAAAAGCGCTTCCACAGCTCTGGCTTCTGAGACGCACGCCTTGGCAGTGTAAGATCGGGCAAATAGTGACGAATGATTTTCTTTTGAGAAGACTTTTAAAGCTTCTGCAAGTTGGAAGGTATCAGTAGTATCTTTCAGTTTGTCGGTTTCAAGCTAGTTTATAAGGGCGGTTGATTCGAACAACGTTCGATAAATTTTCTTCAGTGTTAACAATGTTTATTTAAGAAAATATAGTTAAGTAACAAAGCTCGACGTACCATCTGACACACGTTTACAAAAGAAAACAATTCCTCTACAAAAGGGGGGGGGCCTGGGCGTCCTGGGCCCACTCCTCTGAATCCGCCCTTGTTAACGTTGTCAAAACCAAGGCCTCTGTCCCGGATTAATAGATGGATCAAATTTCAGTCAATCTACGTCCATTTCATTGTCCATAGGCTCATTTGACCTCGTATTTTGTCTTCCAGAGCTTTGCCTCTAAGCCGTACGTGTTTGTTTCCGCAAAGTACGGCCGCAGTACAAAGCAAACTGATGCTGTTTATGTATGGTTGGAGAATGTAAATTCTGAAGGTTTCAAAGTTTGCATCAGGGAATTCTTGCCTTTTGATGGAAAACACAGAGATACAATTGTGGTACGTGGGAAATAACGATAAAGTATACACGTAACATAGATATTATGTCTTTGGCGGGGAATCAATCGTCATTTCATCAGCTGTGATCTAGGACAAGGAATAGGTAGTGTCTGGCGTCCCACAATGCTCCATATTAGGTCCTTTTATATTCAATTTGTACTTAGCAGATCTGCAGGACTCTATGCCAGTGTTTAACAGGTTATCTTTTTTAGGTTAATGCGTTTTTAGAATTTCTGCAAAAACCGGAAAGGGAAAAGTAACAACCTCTCTTGATATGAGGCATGAGGTAACCAGTGCTTCGAAGGCTATCAACTAAAACAGTAAAATGATGATGAATTCTCTCACTTAATTTGGATCATCATAGGTTTCTGGGAAACTGCCCACCTACCCCTCCCCTAAGCCAACATTAACACGTACTTCTCACTAAGGGCAAATCCATCAAATAATCCCAAGGGGGATCATTATACGTTTCTGGGAAACTGCCCATCTACCCCTCCCCTAAGCCAACATTAACACTTTCTTCTCACTTAGGGCGAATCCATCAAATGATCCCTTGGATCATTCGACGTTTCTGGGAAACTGCCCACCTACTCCTCCCCTAAGCTACCATTAGCAATTACTTCTCACTTAGGGCAAATCCATCAAATGATCCCTTGGATCATTCTACGTTTCTGGGAAACTGCCCACCTACCCCTCCCCTAAGCTACCATTAGCACTTACTTCTCACTTAGGGCAAATCCATCAAATGATCCCTTGGATCACTATACATGTCTGGGAAACTGCCCACCTACCCCTCCCCTAAGCCAACATTAGCACTTACTTCTCACTTAGGGCAAATCCATCAAATGATTCCTTGAACATTATACGTTTCTGGTTTTTTTTTTTTCACCAACAGGACTGGTTCGCATTCCTCAGGCTTGACAACGTGACTGCCGGAGAAAAGTTCTTTCCAAATGACGGATACCCGTCAGTTGAGGACAACTATGGCTTCTGCCAGGTGAGTGGTAGCTGTCAATCGGCTGTCAAGGTAACAAAGGCCAAACTACTTGAGTGTTTTGTTTGTGCTTTACTACGTTAATCGATGAGAACCACGATCGTTTAGCCCCTGCCACCGGTCGACACTATCTCTGGTTACGTCCGTCTGCGAAACAGCGCGAAAGTCCTTGGTCTGGGCCCCTACCTGTTTAACAGGATTTGAGTACGCGCCATAATTGGTCTGTTTAAAATGCCATTGTCGATTTGACAGTCAGGTTGATGGGAAATACAAAACGTATTTCAGAACAAGGATATCCAAGGAAGGAAAGGAAACCCCGGAAAGGAATCCGCAGAACAAGGATATCGGCACACTTCGCGGACGTTACAAACACTGAGGTTAAATTACGTTTGCTACGCAGGCTACGATTCTAAATCGTGTTGAATTTCTTCTTTCTTACAGGACGTTTCTTTCAATAAAACATTCCACGAGTCACCAGTTGTCCTTGTTTCTGTCAATCACCGATACGATCGCCAGTCGAAGGGCCGGTTTCTCCCGGAAAATAACATAATCTCGACCTGGGTGGAGGTAGGTTTGTGTTTCGTTCTCTATACTCACGTCATTAGACATTCCCAAATAGGAAAACTTTTAAATTGTAAACCACGGTTACACTTTGGTGTGTTCATTTCCTGCCGTTCTCTTTTTCTTTATTTTTAACCTGTCGCCAGGTTTTTATTATTATTATATTTTTTATTACAGCAAGTGCAAAAATAAAACATAACATATGATAATGGAAAAGAAACGTTTCTTTTCGTTTCTTACTGCTGTTCTCCCCATTAGCATGAAAACGATTCTCACCAGCATAATTAGAATCTGCTAAAGTGAAAACGCACTTCTTTTGTATTATAATAACTTGCTTGTACGTGTCTCTCTTTGCAGAACGTTGGCTTGCAATCTATGAGGATATGTGTTAAAGACCTCAGTGGATCTGGTCCTATCCATGACCCACTTACTGTAGCCTATGCTGTTGTTGGAGGTACGTTTTTGACTTAGGCCCTTTGAGAAAACTCTGCGCTCGTTGGTTGAATTGAAATTCCTTTAAACTCAACTCTACTAAAAATTCCACCCCTTTCTTTTTTCAACATAGACATAGATCCTTGCCTTAACGTGCAATGCCCTCGATTTGGAGTCTGCAAAGCATATAATGCGTATGCCGGTCGCTGTGAATGTAATGACCAATGTCCATCGTATCAAGATCAAGTGTGCAGTGCGAGTGGTACGACATACGACAATCAATGCTGGCAGAAGCTCGGTTACTGCAAAGGACTTGAGAGCGACCCCCGTATCTACCATCCGGGAAGCTGTGAAGGTAAGCAAGACCGTAAACTGCCGCTTCTAAGCCGTTTTGGGTCCCCCTGGATATAAGCCCCCCTATTTTTTATTAACGTTTTAAATCTGAAACAATGGTAAAATGTGGTAGATTTTGAAAACCTGCTTCCCATTATATAAAGCACGCAGAATTATGGTAAAAATGCGATAATTAGTCTCCAGGGCCGAGTTGTTCAAAGCTGGGTTAAGATAACCCAGGGTTAGTGCGAGATTTGAATTCAGATATGAAAGCTTAAAAAGCATTTCAGTTTCAATTCTTTTTGCCTACAGGTTGATGATTGAAAGCTCTAAAAATAACAGAGAAAATTATCCGAGAAAATGCTTTTGAGCACAAGAAAACTAAACCAGGATTAAATTTAACCCCAGGTTAAGCGCTAATCGGCCTTCGAACAACTGGGCCCAGGAATACCTTAAAAACCAGTAAATGTAAAACTTACTTTGATCAGTTACTGCTAAAGATGTTCCGAAGAATCTCCGAAGTGCTGTTTCTACTTTAGTTATAAGCCCTGGCGGGTATAGGCCCCACCGTTTATTTATAACAGAGTCCTCCTAAAACCCCATACGAAGATTTGAAGTGGCTCTGCTCAACAAAGTCACGTTATTACGCATCCTCGTTGTTGTCAGCACTGTTGCTTTATGTGAAAGGACTGGATACAATAAGAGCTCTAGCAAATAAATTCATGGGCGAGAGACTGTAAATATAAGTTGCTCCTGTAAATATCTAAATGGAGGAAGTAATCATCAGTATAATGCCTAAAATGCGATTAATTGGACAATTAGTTTTTACTCTATTAAACCTTTGGGAGTGGCCATGGCCACCCACAAAAAGAGCAGCACATGTACTGATCACAGGACATTTTTGTAGTAGTCATTAACAACACAAAACAGAAAGGAAATTCGTAACATTACAACTGAACAAGCAACGCAAGCTCACTAGAAAATATTCCCCCCAAAAAAATACGGCATAAGCAAACTTGGGCGCGCTTCGGTATCCAGCTGATCGGAAGCGCAGTGCATATGAATTAGAGACATTGAAATCATGAGATTATTCACATAATAATAATAATAATAATAATAATAATAATAGTTTATTGATATCCCTCTCGCAGCCTAAAGGCTGAATTACATGGAAGGTCAGTGACACTAACAGAAGACAATACAATACAAAAACAATCAAATAGATAATTATGTAAATATGATTAAAAGCACTACATGAACCAAATAGTATTTTAAGTTGATAATTTTTTTGTTGAACAGTTTTTCCTATTGTGCGGGGCCGAGAAGACCTTCTCCGTGTTCCAAAATGGCTCGATTCAAGTTGTCAGACAGTCACATTTCCACCATACCGGTTCTACCCGGATAAACAGGTTCATGTCCAAATAACTGTCAATCACATCAAATTGAATGACTCTGTTAAAGTCCACGACGCGGTGACTGCATGGACAGAAAACATCAGCGCAAAAAACTTTACAGTTTGTGCCTTGCAAGCAGGAAGGAAAAAAGAGAAATTTACCCCTTTCGCCAGCATTGATTGGGCTGCCTATCAAGGAGGGCCTCCTGAAGCACTTACGGGAACGGTTAATTTGCCCAAATGGTGGAGTGGTACAAACTGCGAGAAAGTGACGTTTCCCAAGGTATGATGGGAACATTTAAATGTCTCACGAACAGTTTTTTTTTGCATGCAGAAGTGCCGAATAATAATCATGACGATGAAGGGAATTTTGAAAGAGTTAATTGGTGTCTGCTACGTGAAACACAAACACTAAACAAACGGAAAATCATCGTAAAATGATGCGCAAATTTAACGTAATTGATAGTTTATATCGGCATATTACCTAAAACCTAGTGCTAGGCCGCAACATGTGCAATACCGTATGGACTTTTTGTTCTTTCTTTACATCCTCGCTCGCTTTTCTTTTCAATAGTCCTAAACCATCTATATCACTCTTTCAACATTCTTTAAAAACTTGTAAGGTCCCGTCGAGTGAACACCACGATGGATTGATTGATTTATCTTACAGCCTTTCGTCCACACTAAAAATGATGAATTGTCCACCCAGAATAGCACTTTTCGGAAACGCTTTTCATAGATCTCTGAAAATCTCACTGTATTCATTTTTGCCAAAAAAGACACGTTTTGAAATCTAGTAGGACTAGTGTGGACTCGTGTGGAAGGAAAACATTTTATATTGCGTTTTCCAGTTTCTCCATTTTTCCAGTTTTTGCTGATTAAAGTGGCCGGTGCGCGTAAAATACCCTCCTTAACTCAATCTTTTTCAAATTGTTTTTTAGTTGTTGTTATTTTCAGAACATTCCATTTTTGACAAACTTACTCGCTTTTTCATCAGGGAAAATTCACTGAGGCCCCAGTAGTCCTTGTGACTTCAGAGCATCTGAAAACAGGTCAAGAGTATGATGCCGCTCTCATCTGGACCGAAGACGTAACAAGTAGCTCATTTCAAGTTTGTCTTCGAGAACTGCAAAACTTCGACGGTAAACACGAGGATATTAGTGTGGTATGTGTCAGAAGTAAAAACTAGAGGCATATTTATTGCTCTTAAACGGAAAGAGAGAACTGGGTAATTATTTCTTTCATGAAAAGTTGTCGCTAAGCAAAATTCTTTGGGCAACACGAGTGAATAGCTGGCATAATAGCCCAAGTCGTCTCAAACAGACGATCGACACAGTTCTATAGAAACACTTCTGATGCGTTGCGAGACTATCCAAACGATTGAGGCGATGGCAATTGCCTGGATACGACTGAAGTTTTAAATATTCGTTCAGAACGTCGGGATCCGGTCCAAGTCGTCGAAGTACATTGATTGAGGCTATGAAGACGATCTGGACGAATGTTTGGAAACCAAGCCTTTGATTTGTCGTACAAACTATCGCATTTACCGATTTGTGCCAATTCAATTCAATTCATTTCCTCACAACTTATTTGCTAATCTTAAAAACTTACATACCCTTTTTATTGTTTATAGGTATATACGTTCATTTTATTTGGTTAATATTAAGGTTTGATTATGGTGACCAAGTTAACCATTCAGTTTTCTGGTTGGCCCCCATATTGCAAAATACGTTTCTTTTAAAAACAGGCGAAAAACAGAACCAAACAAGACGCTCTGGGACCGTATATTTGCGCGTCCATTTACTAGGCGTGTGTGAAGTTTTTTATGTCTATTAGGATGTGTTAGTAGTGCAGTAGCGTTGTATGTTTTAGGGGTTGGTTGAGATGTTTGAAGTGGAAGGCGTGGAGTTATATTGGGCGTGGATTAGTAAGATAATGGCTGTAGTTTGTTAATCAGTGAAACCAAGAGAGGATAAAGGGGACAGAAAAGGCATCCTCCGTACACACCCTATTCCATAGGTAATTCGTCTCGAGTTATTTTTAAGACCACAGATCCCAAGGAGGATTGGACAACAGCCAATCACATAGCTCGAATGTGTTCCGCGTGGATGACCCACGATCAGAGCCACGCGTCCTTCACGAATTGAGGCAGAAAAAAATGGCGGAAGACGCGAAGAGCGATATTGCTATTCGTTTTGTCGACGAAAACGAGAGATTTCTGCTAAAGCTGTGTCAGCGAAACGAAAATTAAAAAAGAATCGCCCTTCCTCTCTTGCATAGAGCTAACAATACAGCAGGGAAATCCTTAACACACTGAATATTCCCTCAGGATCATTTATAATTTACAGTTTGAAGAGAGCAATTTCTGGTTTGATATTTATTCTTTCATTAGTCTTTTATTATTCAACAAAAATAACACTTGGCGTCCTATAATAACAATAATGACAATTTAATAACTTCGAGAGCGCTATTTACATTCACTGATCAACAGCGCTTAACAACTTAAAAAACTACAATAAAATTCAAATTTGTAAAACTAATTACATGTACATGAATATTACTTGCTACTTACTTTATTGTACAAACGACCGGTTTCAACAGACCGGCGAAATTTCTCATTTTGTTAAAGCACTAAGGTTACGATAACTTCGAGTTAAACTAATTTCACGGGCTGTCAAAGAGTCGAGCGAGACCCTTTTCCCAGGTGAGCGCCGACTCATTTCGCTTCAATATTCAGAAATGCTCTCGATCTCTTTACGCTTTCATTGCCCTTCGCCCGACATGTTTTGCACGGCGTTTAGTCACGCGAAACCTCCACGAAACATCCACGCAGCGCGCGAGGTACCTTTATCCCGATTCTAAAAATAACGCGAGACGAATTGCCTATGGAATAGGGTGTACATGGGGGATGCCTTCTCTGTCCCCTTTATCCTCTCTTGGTGAAACTGGTTTCTAGTAGAATTTGATATGAAGTAACAAAAAATATTTTTTGGGAAGGTAAACGTGATTTGAGGTGTTGCAGTGAGGTAGTTTTGGGTGTGCTAATTTGGTTACAAAAGGATAGTGCAGTTACAGTCTGTTGAAATGAAGTGGTGGTTTTGAGAGACCTTATCAATAGTTTAAAACATACTTGTACTTATTTAAACGTTGTTAGGCTTTCTGTTTAGGATTTTTTCGCGGTTATTTTTTATAATATTTATATGGAGAAAAGGTGGATAAGGAAACTTCATTTAATATGGAGAAGGGGGTATGAAAATGTTGGGGGGGGGGCTGAAATTTTGTATGTGTGTCTTTTTTTGTGCGACGACAATTGTTTTCCATGGGAAAAATTTAAATAACTTAATAGTTTGTTTCACACAGTGTACCTTGTTTTTTCAATCGTTTGACTTCTATTGCCGAATTGCTTTCCGTGCCTTATCTGTGCGATGTATGTAATGAGGATAAATGCTGTGTCGTGACAAATCGCGCGGCAGACTAGTCGCCTTTTTGGCTTGTTTACGTTCGCACGTATTGCGGGCCTATTGCAACTTTGAATCAAAACAATCGATCTCGATTACTCTATTTGGGCAACGCCCAAATAATAACAATTACAGTAAATAGATGTAAAAAGTGGTTGACATATTTCCCATTTTAAAGTGGAGGGGAACAAGATCCTTCTTCAGAAGATTCTAATAACTTGCTCAGTTGTAGCCATAATTATATTAAGCCCTATCAAACGTGACCGTCCGCCATAACGACGTACACCCGGAGTCTACAGAAAAATTGCTGTATTGAAAGCAATTATTATAACAGGTCTAATGACGATGATGATATATTTAAGGAGTCAGTGTAGTTAACAACTACTAATTTCAATGAATTCTTGTTTGCAGAACTGGTTTGCGTTTTCTAAATCGCTGAAAAAGCCACTGTCTTTTGAGCACGGCAGCATAGGTTTTATAGGCACCAAAAACACTAACCCACCACTGATGGATGAAAATAATAATGCATACTGCAAGGTAAGAATAGACAAAAAATTAATATGTATCACTTTTATTACACGATTGGTCGTCAAACGTTACTCCCAGTTTTGTGTAACTTTAGCGAAGGAATGGTGAAACGTTTTAGCTAAATGTTTTCGGGTATTTCTTGTTTTTCAGTTCGTGTTATTCACAAGAGGTTACGGCTCGACTCCAACAGTGCTCATCGCTGCCAATCACAGCACAAAAGTATCCGGGAACTCATCCCCAGTTAACAACGGTATTTCCACGTGGATTGAGGTAAAAATCGCTCTAGTGTGACACTACACTGTATTTCAGGTCAGTTGCAAGTGTAGCGAAGCTTTCCGCAGGTCATTAAAGAAAATTCCCATTAGCGCTGTGAAAAGATGCCTTGACAATCAAAGAAATTGAATGTTAAAGGAATGATTAATTAAAACGAAATTTATGTAGATAGGGACAAGACAAAAACTGAACTAGGTAAAATTTATATCGCACAAAGTAGTACGTGCTTTTGGTGAATATGACATCGGCGCATGTGCGGCTTTGCGCGTTAAAACTCTGTGCATGTGGTTTGATAATAAGGTATTGCGGGCGACAAAAGGAGCCGCTATCCTAATCTCCAGTTTGTTACTACGCATGCGTCGCATGTATGTAGCCAGCATTCGTTTGGACTTCCACTAAGAATGTTTGGAATTCACATAACGCAATTTGATCCCGCGTGTTTGAACCTTCTATGACTCGTAATCTGATCACGCGTGTTTTGACTTTAGGCAAAACACAGCGCTGGAGCAAAACCGTTTTGACCTTCGATCGTTGTCGCCCTCACTCCGTAACGTTTAGTTATTACTTAACACATGTTAAGGTATTCAATGAGAGGGAGGAGAGGGAAGGGAAAGACCCTTTCCCTACCCTCTACTCGCGATTTTTTCACCCTTTCCCCAAACAGAGAGCCTGTTCACAGGCTGCTCGTGTCGGGACAACAGGTTTGTAGTGCGAACATTATATTATTGTATATACCAAAGGCAGTCAATGGTTTCGGTGTAACCTAGCTAGCTTGCTAGCTTTTTTGTTTCTCCTTCCTCACATGGTCCCTATGGCTTCCACGCTCGGACACAGACTCCTTAAGAATTAATTGCCTCCTTATTTCTTATCTTATCTCCAAGCAAGCGAGACTTAAACGCTTTTTAGAGCTTTCTTGTTGTATTAAGTTTACTCATTAAGATTATTTGGTTTAATTTATTTTTATTCCAGTGCATTTTATATTCCATATTGATTATCAGCTAGTAAATAGATTTTCCTCATTTATATGTAAATAGCGCGATAGAAGTAATTGAATTTATTGTTATTATTATCATCATCATCATCATCATTAATAGTAGTGCAAAGTGGATCAAAACAGTTTTCCTTTTGACTGATCCGTCTCTAAGAAAACCTTTCTAGGTCCTTTCAGTATTTCCCAATTAATTTTGAACGAGCTGTTCGCATTCGATTTTGAAGTATGTAGTGGACAGCAGCGTATTATTTGATAGACAGTTTGGCATCCCTGAGGGTCATTCCACGTCAAATGCAAAAATTAATCTTGCCAAATGGATTGCCCCTTAGACTGGCGAAAACAAATTTTAGGCTGGAGTTTTTCTTGATCTTTTGAAAACTTATTTGCAGTTGGTACATGTGCAATAGACTATAAAAATACTGAGAGCAGAGCTGAACGGAGGACAACAGTATGTGGATTTCCCCAGGTTTCCATACCTGAGCCCTCTTTTTAATCTTTTATATCAACGATCTCCTTAATTGTTTTAGTAACGTTGAGTCCCTTCTACTCGCTGATGACACTAATGGTCTCTTTGACCACCCTGATTGCATCTTGTGATGGATAATATATAGATTTAGCCAGGGCTAAAAGCAAAGCTCCCGTTTATAAATTCATAATTTAAATCAAACAATCAGACTTGTAATCCACAGATCAGGGCACATTCATTTGACTTTTGAGGCAAAGGCTAAGTGATTTTAGAGAAAAATAATTTGACAGTCCAAGAGTGAAACAAATTTTACATCGGTTTATTAAATAGTCTTATTTGTACACCCAAGAATAGCAATCATGTTCAATCACATTCGAGTATTGTATTTGCATTAGCTGTTGCATCATAATAAGGCATTCACCAGTCTCTCGAACATTGCTCCGTTAGAGAGACTATGGATAATTACGTGATAATTGGACAACCCCGAAATATAATTTTAAGAAACACACGCGCCACGATAGTCCTTGGTGGCAGCCAATTTTCACGTTGCATTACTCTGTCTAAAAGAGAGGCCAAAATAAAAAAATCAGGCCGGATTTTTTGTGTTCGACAAGTTTAGGTTACTGGTAAATCTTGGCGACGAATCTGGTGGCGACACACTGACATACTTTTTCTCATCACGTCTCAGGTAAACAGTACCATGAGGCCCTTTTTTTATCATACAGTCCTCGGACAGAATTTGTTCTTTTTTGCCCTATTTAAACCTATAATTCTGCAGTTTTTCACAATTTTGCAAGAGAATTTCCACTCATTCAATATCCACGACGATCAAAGCATGCTCTTCCTCTGCACAACAAATTATAGCATTGAATTATAAAACGTTTTCATGAAGAGAATTCTATAATGCCGGGACTTTTCAGTTAGAAAAATCTGGTCCTATGTGATATGTAATGGTAAATTCGGTCTGTAATCATAGGAGTGATTACCTTAACAAAATCGGACGACCGCGTAGCGGGAGTCCGATTTGTGTAATCACGAGTATGATTACAGACCGAATTGGACGACACGAAGTTCTGTTACCAATTAATCATAACTTTAACAAAATTTGTCACATAATAGGCTATTTTTAAAATCAAAACACAAGAAATTCGAAATTTTGTTTTGCTACCAGTGAAAAAAAAAAGCCATTTAAGCGCGCGCTTGATGGCGCGTACTGTCCAATTACTTAGGTATGACGCGTACTGTCCTATTAAACTGTCCAATTAAGGCTGAAGTCAGGGCAGTTGATAGCCAATCAGATGTGACAATTTTGTTATAGTTATGATTAGCAGGGTAATAACTATAGGCTTTTAATGAAAACGATAAAAAATTCCTAACATCACTCTTCGGCCAGCCGGACGGGTTCTCACTTTTGACATGCACCAAATTTGCAGTGCGATTAATAGAGTTACCATTTACGCTTTAACATGATAGAGAAATTGTTATGTTTAGGTTTTATTTCCCTTTATTTACGAAACTGTGTATGGTTTTGTTATCTGTAATCTTTAAAAGCGAGTGATATTTACGCGCGGCGGTTTGAGTATTTCTGCATGCGATGTTTATGTTCGACTGGAAACAACCGGTGCAGCGATAAAAATTGCCAGAGGGACTACTAACAATCAATGAAATAAATATAATTCGGTGAAACGTGTACAGAGACAATAATTTTCATTCACAAAGAGAAGTATTGAGAGTAGTGTCTCTGAAAATCATGAGTGAGGCTGAGCATGAGCTTATTTATGTTTTAAGCGGGCTTCCCGGTGTTTGCTCTTTTTCAAGATGATCTCGAGGCAAGAAAATCGCTCAGAGCTTTCTGTTTACAGCCAAAATCATAACTAAATAATCTTCGGAACCTTTTCTTTGAATTTGCGGTCAAAAAATGTCTAAAGGCTCTTTAAATCTGATACTATTGTAGGTTAGATCATTGCTCGTGTATAAACTTAAGCCGCGTAAACCATACGCTCGACTTCAGGAAACCGAAAAAAAAAAAACACATCGAAGACAATAATTGCTCAGGCTTACCAGTCGAGATACTGCCTCTGAAAGTCATCAAGTGTTCCAGAATCGCTTGAGACTTTTCAATCCTCTTATGCCTCAAGCAAGGGCAAGTGAGTAAGCTATTTTGAAAACGATACCATCCGAAATCGGATTTCCAATGACTTTGACAAGCGGTGCATTTGTTAACAAAAAGCGCAATAAACAAACCAGCCATGAATTACAGAACAATCTTGAGAGCAGCTGTATTTCATTTTGTACACCAAGTAGAAAAAGACAGTTTAAGACATCACAAGATGACACAAAACTCTATCAGCTCCAGCTATCAATAAGCAAGTTACCAGACGCTGCATAAATTTTCCGCATGAACTCACCTGTCAAGTTTTGACCAATCAGAACATAAAAATTGGACGTAGAGCGTGATCAACGCGTGACAGTGACAAAAGTCAAAAGCGATTGCCTTCCCTGCATGTAAATGTAAAAGCCGGTTGAATTTTCCCGTCCGAGGTCAGTTCAAATCAACATTTTACAAGTGCGGCTCTTGAGCAAGACTTATTTCTTATGCATTTAAAAAAAAATTGAACTTGAGCCTGCGATCATTTGAAAAGTAGCAACTTGTCAGCCGATACCTTCAAAAAAAGACTCGAACTCAGTGGGTCGATACCTGAGCCCGCGATACGGTCAGGCGATACTGGTCAGCAGAAACACTATTTTGACAGCTGTCAATTAATCAAAACATGGATGTACAATATCAGGTTGCAGGCTCCCAAACTATCTAGAAAGTGTGAGATGAAACATTGGTATGCCTGTGGTACAGACGAACGGAAGGTCGGCTGGTCGGTGTACGGTCACGTGATTGCCGAATTTTCTAGGATGGATAGATTTTCTAAGCTATGGGGCTTCCAATTGAGCCCGTGATCAAATAAAATATCAGCGCAAAACTTTAAACACTACGTGACCTTGATGGATAGAAAAATGAGCCCGCGATACACTCAGGTAATGATGGTCAGCGTATACTCTAGTTTGACAGCTGTCAATTAACCTTCATTAGAATGGCAAATATTCGAATTAACAGACTACGAGTGTGAGTAAGACATATCCGTCCGGCATGTATTGGAAAATGCCAGATCGTGTAACTGAGCGAACCTGAGCCCAGGTTATTAGTTTTCTGATTAGTGGTCTGCGCATGTCCCATTTTGACAGCTGTCAATTGACCTTAATTTGGCTTGCCAATATAACTTTAAACGACTGTCAGCCAACTGACAGCCTTGCCCGGCGTAGTTTCGTTTTTATGTTGAATTGGTAAGTGTGACATGGGCAAAACGACTGGTCTTTCATCTGAGCCCGCGAGATGGTCATGTGATAATTGTCAGCGGATGTCTGATTTTGATAGCTGTTAATCTAATCGTACTCATACGGATGGCTTACATAACTAAGAGGCTAGTCAAGTTGTGCAAGATCTATTGTGACATTTGACATCGGCTTACATGACGTGCGTGTACTGGTGGGCGGGCGGGCGGGCGTACGCTACGTCATAAGCAAATTTTCTCGGATGGATAGTTTACCAAATTTTCTTGCCCATGGTGCTCCGCTGCGCGCGCGCGCGAGAGAGCTCCGCTATTAATAATAATATTAATAATGATAATATTAATAATCATAATGACAATAATAATTTTTAACAGAAACTCATAAGGGGTTGAAACGTGTAACTCGCGTTCAATGCTCGTGAATATTCACTTTTACCATATTTGGAAACCTTAGTGTCAGATATCCATTTTCAACAAAATGGCTGCCGCGCGATCACCATGCAGATGTTTTAAGACAAGAGTTCAGCATTTCAAGGTTAAAAATACACCGTTAAAAGACAAAAAATGGAAAGAGAAAGTTCAAAAGAACGCTCAGCTTCCTTTTTGTGGAGGAAGGGAAACTTTTCATCAAGAAATCGTCTTTCGAGGAATTCAACCTTGTTTCGTTCACGACGGAGCCCAAGGTCTGTGTTTGAAAAGGGAATTTATGTCTTTTTAATTGTTTCATAGACGTCTTACAAATTTTTCTCTTCGGCGCTAAAGGAAAATTACAAAATGTGCCCCGATTTTAGATGGATTTTGTGTTGAATTTTGCCATGTGCTCAGCCGATTTCACTTGCGTGAACGGATCCACGATCCAGATAGTGTTTTCCGAATTGCTTTAATTGGATTTTGAATAAAAATTTTCAAGAAACGGCTTCTCTGTCTTTTTTTTTTTGAGTTTGTTCATTCAGAAAATTAGCTCAAAACATGATCGTGACTACAACACCCAAGCTGAATTTAAGCTTAAATGCTTCTCACATTCATTACGCGCATCACTTTTTGCGAAGATGTCAGGTTGAGTTTTTGGACACTTTTGGATACGCAGCTAATGAATTTTATTCGCAAATATTTTTTACTGTTTACTCTAGACTTTTGATATAAAAATTATAAAAGCCTATTTGCAGTACAATTTACTGTGCAGAGGGTCAACGAGGCATCGTTTTTTGAAGTGACAAGTTCTGCAAGTTCAAGAAATTGTGAGGACGTAAATGGGTTTCATAATGTTATGTTTGGCCCGGGTGGTAAGGCAATAATATCCTGCTCAGTGTTTGGTAAGATTCCTGGTTTCAACCTTTGAAAGCTTTCTCGGCTTTCGGGAGTATTTTTCCCCCGTTTGTCGGCCATTATTTAAGCGGGCGCGGGAACCTAAAGTGAAATTACATCACGTTGTTTACAAAGTTTGATTGGTCAGTCATCTCTTCTTCTCGTTCCAAATATGGTACTTTTGAAAATGAATAATCACGAGCATCGGACAAAGCAAACATATGAGAGTTACACGTTTCAACCCCTTATGAGTTTCTGTTTTTAATTAATAATAATTTTATTTAACTTTAAAAATATGTACATAATTTACAAAAAAATATTTGAAGTAAGAATTTAGCACCATCCAACACTAAGAATTATATAAATCATGAAAATACAATCACTGTGCCGATAACGATTTCCCAAATACATCGCCTTGCGGCTTAGATGCGATCAATAACTCTTGCAGTTAGTCCAGAGTTTTGAATTAAGTTATTACAAAGAGAATTATCCGTCTTTCATTTAAAAAAGAAACAAGTTAAAAAGAATAAAATCTCGTATTCCTAAATTCCTAATTCTTTAAAAAGTTCCTAAAAGTGATTAATTCGGGCAGGCTCTAATATTTTCGATCTGTAGATCTGAGTCAGCAAAGTCTAGCTGTCGTTTTCTGGATCCTGAGCCTCTCAAGCATAGTATCGCAGAGCGTGCGATGGCGAAAGATACTTTAGTTCTTATCTAGGAAATTGCTCTTCAGTAACTTTCTCCCTTCTTATTTGCGATCAGCTCGGCAAGTCTGCTTTGGTACTTAACACACTCATCCGCCATTCCACCTGTGATCGTGAAAACTAGGGGAGTGAACGTTCCCTGTTCGATCTCCATTACTCTTTCCGCATACTGCCTCTTCTTCTCGTCCTCATACTTCTTGTAGATCTGCTTAGGATGGGCGTGTCCGTTTTTTCCCAGTTGAACCGTAACTTGATTGCATCGCTAAATTCCTTCTTATTCAGATTGTAATCCAGCTGTTTGAGGGGAATCACGGTCAGCCAATTTGATGATCCCTTCTCTGGAGCTAACTCAACAGCTCGCTTAGCTTTTGTCGGCAGGGAGTTGTTCACCTGCTCCAGTCTCTCACTTAGACAGTCGTCTTTTTGTTTTCGTGTGCTCAGTTGCAGTGTTCGAATTTCCGAGGTATCTGGAGGCTGGTGCTCTTGCTAAACAATTCGCCTCACGAGCGGATTGCTTACTTTGACAGTAAATTATTATAATAATATTAATGATAATGATAATGATAATGATACAGTGATACAAAATATACGTGATAAATAAGAAAAGATACAGCACTTGTCATTTTCTGAACTTATCCACCGCCAAATGCCAGTTGTTTTAGTTCGAACAATGCCGCTTGACGTTTGTGTATCTGTGTTTTGTTCTGTTCTGTTTTTAGAACATGAATGCCTCTGGATTCAGAGTCTGCGTCAAAGAGTTGTTTGGAACCAGATATGATCCCTTGTCAGTGAGTTATGCAGTGCTTACAGGTAAGCAAATACTGAAAATTTGTTCTAAACTGATAGTTATTTCGATTGAACATATAAAAAGTCGTATTTTCGTAGGCTCTGTTCACATGTGCACGTTTCTCCTGTTTTCGCGTTAACAAATACATTGAAAGCGGATTTTATACCAGCTGACGTAAAATTCCGAACATAAAAAGGCCCCGTCACTTATAAGCCCTTCGAATAAGCCCGCAAATTTGTGTCCCAAAGAGGCCTTTTGTAAGACCCCACCCCGTATATGAGCCCCCTGGAGACTGGAGGAGGGTTTTTATTTGGGAACCACTCTCACAAAGGGCAAATCGTTCCATATCGGAACCCCAAAAGACAAACTCGGACATGAATCTTCAGATTTCTATGAATAAATTTTGAACTTCCGTATTTTTTAAGGGTGATCAAGAGCCATTATTGCTTTCGGGGTGATACATAGGATCGGAATGAAGGTGTTCAGACGTAGTTAATCGATAGTAATATTATTGATATCAATCAAAGATAAATATCGATTTCCGATATCGATTGATAGAAATCGATAAAGAAAAACAGTTTTGTCTTCGATTAATATCGAAGATTATCCGATAGAAATCGATGATTATATTTTAATCGATTGTTATCGATTACTATCGATTCCTATCGATTGTTATCAATTATGTTAATCGATAATAGAAGATAAATTATTTTTTCGGTGACTTCGATTTCTATCGATTTCCGATATCAAGCGATATTCATAGGCGGGTTAAATCGATTAACATCGAAGATATCGATTGATTTTCGATATCGATTTTTATCGATTAACTACGTCTGGAATTACGTATGCAATGTGTTCGGGGTCTAACAAAATGCTCGTTTGTACCTGACGAAGCCCAGGACATAAGGATCCACGAACGCGAAAGTGATTTTAGGGTTTTTGATATTTTTATCACATATAGATATCTGTGATCCTGGCTGGAGCTACTTTAATAGCTTTTGCTATGCAGTCAGCAAGAAGTGCTCAAATTGGACCGAAGCTCTGACTAATTGCCGGCAGGAAAACGCAAGTCTCGTCAGCGTCAATAGTAATGAGGAAAACGTATTTATACAACGTCTTTACAATGGAGCAAAGTCCTGGCTGGGATTAAATGATATTTCCAGGGAAGGAACGTTCACCTGGGCAGGAGGCCGGCCAGGAAACTTTACAGTTTGGGCCAAAAACCAACCAAATAATCTTGGAGATGAAGACTGTGCGCATACACTTGGCATTGGACACAACTACAAGTGGAATGACGTGAAGTGCAGTGACTGTCATCAGTATACTTGCAAAAAAGGTCAATGAAAATTATATAAACAACCAAGAAGTCTTTCTATAAGTAGGTTATATAATCCGGGTGAGTTGAGTCCCGTTTAAGACTGTTGGCGGTGAGAGTGACTGCTGTTTCAACGACCTCGTGCATGCTGAAGAACTTAACCATCACCCGCCAACAAGTCGGTCGTTTGCCTGTTTGTAACCTGTAAGTCGTTTTTCGTCGATTTTTTCACTTCGCTCTGCTCTCCACTAACTAAACGCCTGGAGCAGGCTAGCCTGTTCCGCGCTTTACGCTCGCTCTCGCTTTCACCAAATCAGAGTAGAAAAACATCTGCGAACAGGCTAGGAACAGGTACCAATTCTGTATCTTTGACTCGGTTGTAGACCCTAGAAACATAAAAGTCCGTCTATTAAGAACTAGGCTGTGCTGTTTTTTTGAACTTCGTCTTCCTGTCTCGAAATCAGATAACACACCCACCGCTACCATTCTTTCCCTGTTTTCCTGCATGATTTTAGCTCTCTTGAAGCGTTTGCCATGGTTACCCTGGTAATAAGAATAGCTTTACACCTTATTTTTTCTTGTTTATATTTTTTGTTTTCTTGTTTGTGTTTTAACAGACCAGAATGAGTGCAGTGGCAACACGTTCTGTCATCCAAAGGCTAGTAATTGTACAAATCTCTGGGGTTCGTTTAAGTGCACCTGTAACCTTGGCTACATAGGAAATGGATTAAACTGTATATTAGGCGGACGAGGTACATAAGAGACATTTTAATAACATAAGAGACTAATTACATTTTGACATGAAAACTAATAGGAATGAAACGTTTCTGAAAAATGTTTCTAACCTGTCCAAATTATATGTCTTCGATAAGGCAGGGTTTTCAGGCACGTATTCTTCTGTTTTCAAGTCTTGCTAGATCGCTTAGGTACATCAATTTGACAGATTTTGAGTTGTTGCCGATCTGTTATAAATCTGTGTTTGTCGTTAACATATACAAATTTTTATATACAAATATTTTATTTTTGTGTATTTTTTATATAAAAATATTTGTATATAATATGTTATATACAAATCAAGGGATTGCGTCCAAAGAGGTGTGCGTCTCGAGGGGATTCATGGTATCAAGGCTATCCGCGTTGCACCGACCGGCTGTAACTGGGATACACAATTATTTTGACTCAATAAATTTCTTACTGTGAACTATTTTTAAACTAACGGCTAAAATTTCCTCTTTTACATCAGAAGACCAAAAGTTTGGGCTGTTTTAAGGCTAGTCGTTAACCCCATAGAAACCCTCTTTGAAGTCACTACCGGGAGTCCGAGGATGGGCGAAGCGTTATTACGCTCTTTTACGCCCCTTTAAAGGAGCTGTGTCACAAAATTCAGCCAAATAAGAAATTACAAAATGCCCGTTAAATTAAGAGAAACATGAAAATAACCGCTTAAAACTTTAAAGGAAGGTTAAAATAACATAACAGAAACAACAGATGCCACGGATGGGTAAAACTGAAGCAAGATTGAAACGGATTGAAATTAGGGTTTTTGAAAACTGTGCAGCCTAACAGTTTTTCAAAGTTGATCCCTGCTGCTTGCAACTTCAAAAATAATCCTCAGGAGACATATTTGTTTGTCACGGATCTCTGATTTTGTCATTTACATGTAATTTCTTTGTTTACTTTTAAGTTCCATAGCGATTGAGGGCGAGTAACTGGCAAAATTAAACAAAATGAACTGGACCGCCGTGACACAGCCCCTTTAAACAATCAAAGTTTTCGTGCAGCACCGTATTTGTCTTGCACAAAATGTGTTGGGTTATTCTGACACCATAGTTATTGCTGCAATCGACCTTCCTCTCAGGTTTACAAGACTCTGCTATTGTGGTAAGCAACATAAACCACTTGATCTTGTTAAAAAAAATGGCTTAAACCTGTGGCAAAAGCATCAATCGCGTGGTTCTGTCAGGCGAAACTTAAAATGTCAACTACCCAATTTTAAAGCCAAATGAAAGCTATTGTCATTGTGTATGTTGAGCTACCGAAATTTTCAACTTAAGACATGCGTCAGTATACTGGAGTTTTGATCAGTCTAAAACGTAACGCTTTATATTCCTTTTTAGAAAATCTAATAAACATGCAAGTTAACGTTTTACATTTTGCAATATGGTTATCTCTTTGCAAATAGCTCATTGAACTGGAAATAAATTCAGTTTCTGTGAAATTACAAATACTCTGTACCTCATATAATGAAAAATGGTCTTATTTTTTTCCTTAGGTTTGGAAAACTCCGTCATTTTGAGATACGACAAAACTGATCACTTGACCTCGTTGAGGAACTGGCTTGCACCTGTCACAAAAAGCGTCAAATCTCTCTGGAAGTGCTGTTGGCGTGCAACCAGCAACGGCTTTGATTCATATACATTTCACTCCCGATGTGACGGCAAGGGCCCGACAGTGACAATAATAAGGGTTGGGAGATATATTTTTGGAGGATACACCAGTCTATCATGGGGTAAGTGAGCATTATAAATAGAGATATTACGATAACACTTTTTCCTTTACCAGCCCAAGGGCAGTTACATGTAAATGTACTGGTGAGCAATATGGTGGACCATATGGAGTGACTGAGTCTGTTGATCCTGCAAAGAAGGCGTGCTTTTAGCCAGCAAAACAGGTTTAAATTTCATGTTGTCATCGACTATTGAATCTTTGGAAAATGAGGTAACATGGAACTTGTTGTAGCCTCCAGGCACGCTGCATCTGCTACCTTACAAAACATCGTTATAAAAATTGTGTTGAAAAACTTTTAAAAAATATGTATTATTTTCGTGCACTGTACTTACTATATGTCTTTTCATCGGCTAAGAGCCTACAGTTCATTTTGGAAATCAGCTTAAAATACAGACAAGACCCCCATAGTAGGAATTCATTGGGCTGCCGACTGCGCGGTCTACAGTCTGCGTGAAAACGCATTATATTTTTCCACACGATAAAAATATTCAGTTTTAAGATTTTTGTTTTGGTATTTTTCTTCAACTTAAAGGAATAAAATGTTTTGCATTTTGACCCAAAAAAGTTTGATTTCATCGGCACGCACTTTAAACAATGTGAAAAGATGAAACCATCGATATCACGTATTTTACCGTGATACTAATATGAGTTGAAAATTCGCCCGAGTTCGCCGTTTGTCTCACCCGTGACTAACTTTTCTTCATGGCAGAAAATTATGCCGTTTTATAATTCCTCCGAATCTTTGTGCCAGCCAAACAATATCGAAACATTATTCTCAGTCCCTGGATATTAAAAAGACTGAACGAAACGCAGTGTAAACGCACTATGTGCCCTTCTGATCACATGTGCACGAACTCTCTTTTCAAGTGATTCATCTCAATGCACGATATTATATATTATACTGTATTAGTATATACACACTCAGTGATCTTGGTGATTTAAGCAATCTGATTGGTTCGCTATCTCGGACTATTCAACAATATTCACCTCCTAGCGAGTGGATAATGTGTGAGCTCAGTGTTTTTCCCATTTTTTAGAGAACGATCTTTTTAAAAGTCGACAGAATCCTAGGGCTGACTTTTTTTAAGGCAAGAAAAGACTTGGAAGGATTCAATACGGCGTTTTTCAATTTACTGTAGCAGGAGTTTTGTGCTCGATGGATTGTTTACAACTCCCGTGTATTCGCGTAGAAGAAGCCGTTGCGTGAACTCAGCGTTTTCTAAGAAGAAAATTTTGGCTCAAAAATCGAAGTTTATTTATGACAAACAAATTTAAAAGGAAATGTTTTCAGAAATTCTACGTTTCAAGTAAACAGGAAAAAGAAAGATACAGAAAGACGACGTCTTACCTCGAGCAACTAAGCCGCCGTTTTTGTCAGCACTTCATGCGAAGAATGACACAACAAACCCTTTTGGCTATAAACTTGGCGAGTCAACAGAAAACAACACAGCTCTACTTTTCTTCTCAGGTAAGGAAACAATTTAAACTTTTAGCGGTTCCATTTAAGCCATTACGCTGTTGTTTGCGAAATGATAAACTTGTAAATTGCCATGTTTGAAATTTCTGCAAAGATCTATTTTTAAACTTACGCGTGATTTGATCTGTCAATCAAATCGTACTTTTGAATGGTTTCGTCTCTGATTTTGTTGAGATCACTTCGTGTGTATATACTAAAACAATTATTCTTTTCAATCTCGGTGAATAGTGGCTTTGGGAATATTTACCTCGCCGCTTTCGCGTCTCGGTAAATATTTTGCCACTATTCACCTCGATTTCAAAGAATAATTGTTAAATATACCATATATCAGTCCGGAATATCCCTAAATTTAAGGACAGGGCCAACTGGTCACGCGCCACTTTTCAACCAATGAGAGGGCGCGCTTGTGTTTATTAACAAACAAATCAAAACATCGCCCCAGTGATCAAAAATTTTCAAAACAACGGACGGAGTCGGGCAGAATTAAAGATGAGCTTACAGCACTCGTCTAGGTTTCACATTTAATATTTCAAAGAAACATTTCATGTAAGAGAATAAGAGCATTAATCATTGCAAGGAACGAATCATTGGGGTGTTCCAACTGATTCCGGACCGATCGCGGAGGTCGTGGCTTCACTGGCATAGCTTGCAAGATTTTTGATAGAAGCAAACTAGTCCCGTGAAAAATAGCCTTAGAGAGAGCGTGAAAATTTGTTGAGATCGTACAAAACAGGATTGGTACTACCTATTAACTTCTACAGGACAAGAATCAAAGAATCAGTCATCATAACAAGAATAGAAAGTAGTTCAAATTTATTAACTTTTCTTGTTTGTGTTTTGTGTTGTTTCGTGTTGACTTCACGCATCTGGTGCTTTCTTTGCTTGCTGTAATACCTGCAATGTTTTAATTTTATCCCAGATAATCAGTGCATGTTCAATGAGTGGCGAAATACATCATTTACAATTGAGATTTGCCTTGTTTCTTTTATTGTTTTTTAACGGTGGATGAACATTTGGAGAATGCAACAACATTAAATCTTTCCAGATTAGTGAATTTCAGAAACAAAGCGGTTAGTATCTACGTTGCGCTTATGATCTTCAAATTTCATCCCCGCAAATTCGGCAAAGTGAGGCGAAATGTTGGACGTTAATATCCATAAGACTATTAAAGTTGTTTTGGCCTTGAAAAGAAAAAAGGCAAAGGCTCGTACTAATGCGAAAAAAAGTAATAACACGGCTCTGTGAGAAACCCGGGAGTGGAAAACGTACGTGTTTTGGACCTCGGAATTCAAAAATTGTCTACCAGAATTCTAGGTTGTCTACCATCCCCACATTCAACATGATAAAAGTTAATCGATGGGACAATCGAGGGAAAATATCTAGAACTTCGTAAAAAATCTGTGAATCGAAAAAATAATAGACACTTGTTCACCTACCTTGAAAACCGACCAAACTCTCGCCTATGCATCGCGTTGTTTAAAGGATAAAAGAAGAAATAAGCCACAAAATGTGCTGAATATTTCACGAGACACTTCCAATATGGCTTCCGATACTCTGTCCACTTAAAAAAATTGTGTATGCCTCATGAAAAGTCTTTAAAATATGCCTGAGAGCCTCGAAACGGTAACTGATTCTGTCTGTCTCCGTCCGTTGTTTTGAAAATTTTTGATCACTGGGGCGATGTTTTGATTTGTTTGTTGATAAACACAAGCGCGCCCTCTCATTGGTTGAAAAGTGTCCCGTGACCAGTTGACCCTGTCCTTAAATTTAGGGATATTCCGGACTGTATATTATACCACATGTTATATACTGTACGACAGAGCTGAACAACGTCTGCGCATGTGCAGAGACGTGAGAGGTCTGGGATCTAAACTAGTATCGTTTGCAAAAGGATTTTCAAAACATCCCTACATTTTGGCGATTTTTAAGGTGGATTCTAAATATTTAAGGCTCCCATTTAAAGTAAAGGTAGGTTATTTCATACTTTATTCAATTCTCGTTTCTACCTTTGTTCTACTTTTTTCTATGAACAAAAGAAGACGCACGAACGAAGCGTCCCTGCAATAATAGTATCGTTTACAAAAGGATTTTCAAAACATCCTCACACTTTCCCGATTTTTAAGGTGGTTTCCGAATATTCAGAGCTCCTATTTAAACTTAAGGTGGATTATTTTATACTTTCTTTAATTCTCGTTTCTACCGTTGTAATTTTTCTTCTACTTTTTTCTATGAACAAATGAAGACGCACGAATGAAGCGTCCCTGCCATAAATAGTATCGTTTGCAAAAGGATTTTCAAAACATCTTAACATTTTGCCGATTTTTAAGGTGGTTTCCTAATATTCAGGGCTCCCATTTAAACTTAAGGTAGATTATTTCATACTTTGTTTACTTCTCGTTTCTACCTTTATAATTCTTCTTCTATTTTTTTCTATGAACAAAAGAAGACGCACGAACGAAGCGTCCCTGCTATAAATAGTATCGTTTGCAAAAGGATTTCAAAACATCTTAACATTTTGCCGATTTTTAAGGTGGTTTCCGAATAATTAAGGTTCCCATCTAAACCAATGCTAGATTATTTCATATTTTATTCAATTCTCGTTTCCTTCTCCGTAATTTTTCGTCCGTTTTTTGCTATGAACAAAAGAAGATGCACGGACGAAGCCGAGAACAGTTCTTTCATTCGAATGTGTACATGTTCACTGTTCAAGCGTAAACAGAAATGAAAGACAGACTATCAACATGTTATCAGTTCTAAGAAATCGTCCGGAAATCTCATATCAGTGTCAGCATTAACGGTACATTTTTATATTTATCTTTATTTTTCCTTGAATGGTAGTCTTTTCGTTTTTTTCTCGTTACGTCTCGCTAGGTTTCACTATAAGAACTGTAAGAACACAAAACAATCACTAAGGTTTCGAAATCTCTTCTTTCTTCCAAACTTGTTTTCCTTTATGACTCATCCTTAGCTCAGCTCGCAAGAGCTATTATAAATTTTTGTATATGTCAACAGGCGAAATTAATGTTGAAAAGAGTAAATGGGTAAGTAATACAGTCGATGCCTGCTGGTAAAAAATATCAGTGACTTGAAATTCTCTAAAAAGCTTCATTACACGGAGAAGCACAATCTCACTCTTTATAAACTTTCGTTTATTTTTCTCTTTGAAGTCTACATCTTCATTCCTTGATCTCGGCTTCTGCTTCATTCAGACCTGTCATAAATTGAAAACTTATAGTTAATACGAAAACTCACATAGAGCCGAGCCAACTTGTGATTGTTTCTCAAAACTTCAGCAGCTTTAAGCTTTAAAAGTTTATTCATATAAGCTTATAGGTGCAAATCAAATTTTTAACAAGCTTAACCGAATAAATACTGATTCTACAGCTCGACCAGCACCTCTAAGCCGGCTAAAGCTTTATGTAAGAAAAAGCTTCTTTGATCGCACTAAGATTTGTAACTAAGTTTATGACTTTCATGACTTCTTCTGTCTGATGGTATCATCGCGCTCAAAGCCGGCTTCGATTTTCTTGCC